TGAATCAGGAAATCTCCTTTTAGCTGCTTTTCCCAGGTGTATTGTGTCTCACTGAAAAAGTACGTTTTAGTCTTAATTTAAGTGTAAACATTATTAAACTGTATCTAGAAATTATGAACCATTTCAATCTGTATTAACAAAATCTTTGGACATTTTTTTGGAGCATACCTTTATATAAACTAGAGATGCACACACGTGTAACACTAAATTACGAAGCATAAATAGAATCCATAATGTTTTACTAACAACCAACTTTTGAATTACTTATATGCAAGGATATTAACTTTCATAAACAACTTATTATATATTTATCTAGTCAAGCATGCTAGTATGAGCCTCTCTGCCCCTATTGAGGTGTACCCATTACACATCTGGAAGAGCAAAATTTCTGAGTTTCTCAGTTCTCAATTTCTATTTTCATTTCTCATGATTATTTATAGTCATAGTTACTATTGTGATCAAAATAGAAGTAATGCCTTTTAGTGATTAATATGCAAATGTTATATACATATTTCATTTAATTATGATACTTTATGAAAATTCTTGTAAAAGTATTATACAATTTCAGCATATTATCATATTCTTCAGATAGCTAATTACATCAAACTAAAACTCATTCTGTTTACTAATCAAGTATATGTGCTAATTTAAATTAAAAGGATAGCTTTTAAAAGAAATTAGTAATACATTTTAAGAATTAATATGGACCTATAAAACTTGCTATAGTCAGTTAGTACAATAATGTTCTATATTTACAGGAAAATATAGAATGTTTTTCAAAAAATGAAAGAGAAATTAGTTATTTATATCATCAAATGCTGCAAGAAGCACACCAAACAAAAGATAATCAAATGATGAAGTTAAACAGCCACCATAATAGCTGGAAGAAACAAGAACCTGCCATTTTCCTATCCTTGGCAGTACTGAAACAAATGCTTTGGACATTTTTGTCTATAGATAGTAAAGCCATTTGGAGTTGGTATTTTTCTGTATGGTTGCCATATACTCTAAATGTTCACAATTCACAAAGTATTGTGAGCATATACATATTGTAAATATTGCATTTGTAAGTATCAACATGTGAGCACTTGGTTCATGCATCACCTTTGCAAAGGTTTGGTTTATACCCAATCAGAAAAGCCAACTAACCAACCAGACAAATAAACAGAACAATAAGCCTTTTTTGTTATCAATTCTAAAAATGTTGTATGTAGGTTGAAATTTTTAAAATGTCACTATATTGCAAGCCTGGAAATTGTTATCCTTTTTTTCTTTCCTGTTTTACACAGGAAATGAAATCATCTTACCTGTCACCCTGATACCAAGAAAGAGCTTAAAATGTCAAGATTCCCACCCCCAATCTTCATGGTTTATTAAGCAAAAAGTTAAACTCTCCATGGTCCCTTCTGGTACCAACAATATCTGATTCTAAGGGATGTAATGGCTCTCTTTTCTTGTTCAGTAGTGTCCTGGTGAGGGAACAATTTTACTGTCCTTTTCTGTGGGGTCCTGCCGGTTAATCTAAAAGGAAATGAATTACAGCAGGAAGACAGGGCTACAAAATAAAGCCATTTAGTTTTACAAGTCTATTGTGTCCTTACATATGTTTTATGGGTCTGGTCCTATTATAAGCCAAGCAAAAAAAACCCTAAACAAACTTTACTTTCAATCTCTTCCCAGTGAAAATATTTACTATTTTATTTTTGTTTCTCAAGTCATTTTAGTCAAAACCACTTACCCTGCCCTGCTATGTTTCTTTTCCAAGAACCTTCCATCCTACATTCTCAAACATACAAAACCTTCAGAGACAAGAAACTGGACTTCTCAAATACAAACTACTGACAACTGTCAGCACTTTTCTGAGGCATTACTGACTGTAGCCTCAATGAATTAAGCTTGATTTACTACGGGTGAATCATGTTCAACGCAGAGCTGTTCAGCAGTAATTGGCCAAGAATCCATGCTGAGAAAAGCACTTGTCAAATAATGCTTGTTTACAAATATATCTCCAGACAGAAAAAAGTGTCATTAACTGAATAAGTTCGGGGCCATCTCCAAAAATTCAGAATTGCTGGCACAGACCTTTTACTTATTAAATTTCTTTAAATTATTCACTTGGTACACTCATTAATGTTGTCCTCCTTAATTAGCTGAAAATAAAGTCTTCTGCTAAAATACTTGAAATTATTATTGTTTTTGGTAAAGGTTTGTCTAGATTAATGCTGAATGTTTCTTCCGAGTGTGGTTTATGCCCATACATTAAAAGTGAATGAATATTGATTGTAAAATTTGTTTAGAATGAAGTTGTCTATGAAAGATAAAAATAAAAAATAATTGGAATAGCAAGTATAAATCATATTTTCAATGTATTTCTCATGTGACAATTTGTCACATGATCATATATATATTCTTTATAAGTATAAAATATATATATACAAACATATGTGACTGAAGTATCACTAAGCATTTGTTAGTTGCAGACAGTAAATTTTATGAATCAATTTATTAATAAATTTAGCATGTCAATCAAGTATTTCTGAACTTGAGGTTCCAAAGTTCTACAAAAAAATAAAAAAAAACTTGAAGATGTATTTCACTTTATCCATTAAATAATTAATGAAGAACGATGCTATGAATCTTCTAATGTATGCCCTTGTTCCAGGTATACGAGTAGTAGTATAATAAATGTAAAGCAGGAAAGAATCCAGATTTCAAATAACAGGAGAATCTGGGGTAGTATTAAAGATGGTGTTCTGTTGGGTAGTGAAGGAATGAATTGGACAGACAACCTCAAATAATATTAAAATTAAATTTTGAATTATATGTGATAAAAATGTTCCCCAAATAGGAGGCACCCTTGATTCTCGGTGTCTTCAGAGCACCAGAGATAGAGTACAGCTTGCTTTTGTTAGACCCCTCATTTGCGTGTAACCAAATCAGCTTTATTTTACTGTGGGCTTTACTACCTGCCAAAGACTGTGCAACCTGTGGGTGTGAAAGCTTGTGCTTGCCAGACGCCATTCCACAAGATACAAGTTTTGCTTAAGGCACCTTTGGAGACCTGCACTATTTCCCAACTTCCTTCCCCTTGTTTTAGTCTTGGCCCCTGTTCACACTAGGCATCATACTCCTTGATAATTTATTTCTTCAGCTCTCTTGGAGAGACTTCCTTGAGTCCGTTTCCCTTCCCCATCACACACACACAGACACACACACACACAGCAAGAGGACTGAAGATAGGTGGTTGGAATTATGTGTAGTGGAAAGAATTCTTGATACTACCCTTGACTCATTTTGTGGTTTGGTCAGGATGGCCCTTTGGCTGTAATAAAACAGTTAAAAGCCCCTCCTTCTCTGCCCTTCTCCTCCCTAGTCCTCCTCCTCCCTTCCCCTTAGACCCTTCCCCTGACTTAGCCATCTTACACCCTGTGGACTTCTAATCTAATGGTCTTAGCATAATACATTAATAAAAGGTACAAGTCTGAAACAAACAAATATACATCACTTAAAAAAACTTTCGAGGGAGAGAAAAAAAAGCAACTTGTTTGCCTTAAAGAGTGGCTTATTACCAACAGATACCGACAGATACACATATTCCTCTGAACAGATGTTTAATAATAAACATAATGTGAGAGTCAGTGGGGTGCTGGTGTCAGTCTCCATCTGCCCTGCTTTTGCAGGGTTCCTTGAGAACTGGCAGCTCAGGGGGTTACCAGCTCAGCGCCTTCTACAGCAGACTAAATCCATGCTAGTCACGAGGGCATACACCACTCTGCTACTGCTGCTATTTCATCTTTTCAGGTCCAGCATCTCCTGTCCCCAAGCGCAAGGCTTTATTTAAGGTTTCACACCTCAGGACTCTCATCCTCAGCCCAAGGTAAAAGCCCCAGGCTTCTAGAGAAGAGGACAGGTTTTTGATATTTCCATGGTGAAGAGAACCACTCCTGGTAACAAGAACCTGGTCTGAGATGCCCAGTGCCTTTCCTCATGCTCCACCCTCCCCGGTGTGAAGCCATGAGCCCTTAAGCTGAGCCTAGAGCAAACTGGGAAGTATGAAAGAGGAGCAGATCTAGTGTGGCTAAGGGGACCTCAGGCAAGGCCATAGAATGGAGCAAGACTGCTTTCCAGGAGCCTGAGACCAGCTCAAGGAAAGAACAACACAGGTGATGTTCCTAACCTCCAAATTTACTCTCCCAGAGGAAATTAAATACTCCGGAGCAAAAAATTGGGGACAGGAGGGTTGGATACTCCAGGACCTGGTGCCTCTGGTTAGGACAGATCTTCTCTCACAAGATAAGTGTAGGTGGGCTCCAAGAACAACTTCCTAGCATCCACAGTGCCTATCTCCTGTAACACCATCCTACCTTTCCGCCTCTCTCTACCTTTGCTTTGGGGTGTAAAGGAGCCCCAAAATAGAAGGGCACCAATCAGTTTCTGCCCTTCAGGATCCCCTACTTCAAAAATTAAATCTCTAGTTACCCAGCCCGGAATAGCAGCTAGTGGTGGCCTAAATAATAGCCCCAGGGCAGGCACTTTCCCCCAAATATAAGCACCAGACACCCTAACACCATCCCCAAACACGAGCTTAAAATAATGGTTTCTAAAAACCCCAGGGAGCCTAGGAGCCTTGTTGTCGCTTTTCTCCATAAACCGGATGTGTCACTTCTCCAGGTTCGCAGGACCCAACCGCACCCAATCTTCCAGCTCAGGTCTCAGACCTCTTTCCATCAGGCTTCCAACTTCCCAGCCCCCAACCAGACTCAGTCCACAGACAGGTTCCTCGCCTGGTAAGCACTCCGCAGATATGTTAAACAATGCAACCAAATATACCAGAGAGACCCGGAAATGCCAGCAAAAGTGGACAAACATTAACTGGAGACGGAGAGCGAGATTTATTCTAGGTAGCGGCGCCTGGAGCGCTGAGACCGGCTGACATAAGCTCCACCTCACCCAACCATCCCAGGGCGCCGCCACCGCGGTCCCCACCTCCATTACCCTACCTTCGTTGCTGGGGCTGGCCAGAAGGGTCCGGAGAGCCGCACACAAGAGAAGGCAGGTCCAGAGGGGGCCTTTAAGAGGTGCAGAATAGCAGCCTGCCAGAGAGGCAGGGATGCAGGGGGCGTCGTCGCCACCACCTCTGCCCTCGGTCCGTCGGCGTCCCGCACCGCGGGGCCCGGAGCCCCGCATTTTCCTCTACCCTCTTTTTTCCTCTGCGTCCCGCGTGGCTCAGTCTAAGGTTCAGGTTTGGTGGGAGAAGCCAGAGAGGCGCCTCCTGGTGAGGTCCTGTGCCTTCTGGCACTCGATCCCTCCAAATTCGGGAATCAAGGTTCCGCAGAGACGACTGAAGTTTGCTTCTAGCTGGAGTCGCCCTCCCTTTTAGTTGGATGAGATGAATTAAGAGTTCTGATGACTAGTACAGCCCTGGGTGGTCTCAGTCAAGGGTCTGCAGAGGGTCCCAAGTCCCCGCTCAGCTCCTTTGCCTCTTAGGACTTTTCTTTTACAATTGCGATTGTTGTTGTTTTTTAAAGTGCCACCAGGGTTGGAGTGGAGGTGAAGGTTCCCTTTCAGTCCTCGGTGCTGAAGTGGACGAGATTATGGAAGACGGATCATCTTAAATCGAGATGATGTTTTCCATAAAAAGGAGGGGGGATACGCAAGCAGGGGTAACTGTGGATAAACGGGAGAATAGTAGACCAAACGTGGTGTGGCAAACAGCGAGGAGAACGGAGCAAAGCCAGCGATCTAGAGAACTGGAGAGGCCGGCAGAGGGAAGTCAAATCGTTGCGGGCAGAGCACTGCCGGGGGCGGTGCGGCGGGCGGAGCAGGCTGGAGCGCGGGCCCAGGAGCGGGGCAGAGCCCGGCGGCTCGAGCCGCTGCGGTTCCCGCTGCTCAGCACCGAGGAGGAGTGCGCGGCGGCCAGGGCGAGCTGGCTGGCGACTGCACCGGTGCGGCGCGCTCCTGCTGTGTCTGGAGCTCCAGCGTCTCCCGGAGCCGCTCGACTCAGCACCTCCCACCTCCTCCTCTCCCCCACCCCCTCCTTCCCGCCCCACGCTCCCCCGCCCTCTGTGCTCGAGGCCTCGCCGGTGACTAGCTACTGTAAGTGTGACTCGCTTAAACGAAGTCGCACACCCACAGAGGGAAGTAATCTGCAGGCTGCGGTGGTGAGTGTTGCCTAGCTGTCTCCGAGAAAGGCGCGTCTTCCTCCCGGGATAATTAGGGCAAAGAAGCCTCCCGACGATGCCTGTGAGGACCAGAGGTCCCTGAAGGAGGAAGGGAAGCCAGCCCTAGCTCATCCCTCAGCAGGAGGAGCAGCGGGTCCCTGGGTCTGGCAAAGTGCCTGCTGCCCTTTGCTGACTGTGGCACCAACAACCTTGTAGTCACATAATAGGGCATTCGCAGGCTCTGCTGCTCCGTGGCTAGTTTCTTAAACATCCATGTCCCCCACTGCCTTTGACCCTTTCTGTTCTACTGGAATGAGATGATTACTCAACATGTTATTGAGAAGTAAACTGTAGACTATCTAAACCCAGCTATAGTGGGTCAGTGTGCGATTTCACAGAATCAAAGAATTTGACTGTTGGCATTTGTACTATGCTAGGTAAATACAAGAGGCTTTAATTCGTTTATTTCAATGACAGAATGTTTTTGTGATAGAGTACTTTAGTAGTGAAATTACGTAATGGAAAAACATGCAGTTAATTCCAGTGAAATTAACACGGGTATAATAATGTCAGAGTTTTAATTTTTTTAATTATTTTAATTGCCCATGGTCCATTACACTGAAAGACTAACAAATAACTAGGGAAAAGGGCAGCTTAAAAGCATCTCTTTTTTTTCTTTTTTCTGTGCTTCCTCTCAATGTGTCTTCCTGCTTTAATAACCTCCTTCAATTTACTCATTCATTGTTTCAAAGAGACAGACAGCAGGGCAATTTTAGGATGCTCATATTCACTGGCAGATTGCAAAGTGTCTCTCAAAATGTGTGATTTTAAAAGGAAGGTGCCTTATTCAATTCACAATTGGGTTCCTGTTCACACCTACTCAAGTTGACTGAACACTTTCTGATACACCTAGACTCTTGGTGTCTTCACAGTAAATTTTTCACAATTGTTAGCTGATGACCTTTGTGTTTGTTTAGATGCTTTCTACAAAGGTTGAAAGAACAGGGCGATAGTGGTACATTATTTTGAAGAGGTGGAAGTTCATCTTTGAATTCCACTCCACCCCCCATCCCCACCTCCTGGGTGTTTTGGCACTAGGAAGCTGAGAGTATATTCATTCTGTTGCAAAGCACTCCAAATGCATGAAGCAAATAAGGAGGAATGGCAGATCTTCCAGTTTGAAAAAAATCCTCACTGTGAGATTGAAAGTTAAAATTTATGTCTATTTGACGATCATTCAAAATATAAGTCTTCCCCCCCCCCCCGGCTCTGTTTATAGCTGAGTTACTTTAGAATACCTGTAAGGAATAGCAGCAAAAAATCTAAAGTTTCAGGCCACACTAAAGCGAGTATAGGACACTGACAATTTAGTGGTCACTGAGCATGGACTTGGATATCACTTCTGTAGGCCTAAGTGTTCTCATTAATGACATCAGGGATTTATTGAGATGGTCTCCTAGCCCCCACCTCCTCTTTATCCTGTGTGTGTGTGTATATATTTATACACACGAGCACACGCGCATGCACATATGCATGCTATCAGCCTAGAAGTGTTAATAATTTGTAATTATCTAATATCCACTACATGGATATCAAATTTATATGGCCTAAAGACTCTATTCTTGTAGTACCAAAGGCTTAGAAAAAACTTTCTGTGTATGGTTTTATGAAATTGTAAATTCAATGTTTCCTTTTTCTGTAATGTCTTATCCTTCCCTTACTGTGGTGCTTGTTACTCCTTTCTTTAGAAGTCTCCTTCACTCAGACATAAAATATCCTCACTATTATACTGCACTGCATCTTATTACTGAAGGAAACAAGGGAAGCCACATAGTCAGGCCTGAGGTTTTCCTGACAAGTCATTGAGTTGGTTTGTTTCTTGGAAAGATCCACAGCTTGTTATTTATATCAGTCAGCACAATATCAGTATTTTCTGAATGCAAAGCTAAAGGAAATTGTCTAACATCCCCTACCACACAAAGAGACAGACAGTCTAAACCAAGTATGTGAAAGAATTTCTAAGCATGCTTTTCAAAGCATGATCTTCTATTTTGGATGAATGATTTAAAAGATTCAGATTATATAATGCAAAATACTGTCTATTGTCCTACAATTTGTTTAATATTATTTATGACATACACTTGAAAGAAATAAGAACTGTAAAAGGAAGTACCAAAAGTAATGATAAAATTTTAGTTTTAATCAGAGAAAACCATGTTGGTGGTTTGGCTTTGGCCTCAATTTCAAAAACCTTGTACTTGGCCATGTTATTTTCTTGGCATATAATTAATCTTAGCACATTTATGCAAAACAAAGGTATTGAATACAAAGTAGTCCTTTTTTTTCCCCCATTCTTTCTTTCATGCCTTCAACCTTGCACAATCAAATGTCAGGACATTGTATTGGTTTGAAAGTTCTATCATCTCTATTTACCATAGGGATTATGATTATGTTTAAAATGAGAAAATTCCTGATTTCTTCTTAAATCTTTGGTTGTATGGCTTTACCACTAACTTGGATTATTGTTTTGTTTATTTATTTATTTATCTTTGTTTCCTCTTAGAAAAGTATGTAGAGGAATGTTGATAGGAAAACTTGAGAGTTGAGGACTCTTGTATTTTCAACGTTGTGAATATATTAAATGAGATTACAAGACTACATGTATTTTTACTACATTCAAAACAAAATAAAAGCAGTCTTGACAAAAATGCTGTATTGTTTACTTAAAACTTATCTTGGTAAATTACTATTCGATGATTTCACATAAATCACTTCACCCGTAAAATAGGTAGGTATAATTAATAGCCCTATATTAATGGGAAAATGAGGTAAGGTGACCTATGTCATACACAATAAATTTATTTAAACATAATGATTAAAAAATAACTAAAGAGTTGATCTCAAAATTCTACATTAGTGGGAATGATTTCATAAAATATTATGCTTTTAAGATTGATTTAAAGCAAAATCAAATAGCATAGTACTTGAAGGATAAATTAACAGGGAAATAAACTAGGAATGTTTATAATAACACATGCATACATATACACATACATAAAAATTAAAAAGAAATATGTAAAAATAATTAAAAGTTCAGAAATACAATTTCTTTCTTTAGCAAAAATTAAAATGTTGCATTAGAAACTTAATTTACTAAGCATGTGTATCATAATCACTGGAAATTTTTCCCTTTTTTTTTTTTTTTTTTGACTTTTAAGAACAAAGTCTACACTGTTGGTAAAGGAACTCTGTAGTATAGAAGGAAACGATTCCAAATATATCACAGAAAGCCAAGAGCCAGAGTGGTTCATTCTGGTTTATTCTTTAATAATGCTCATACCAACATTCAAAGTTTGAAGAAATTGCAACACAGTCAAGGACAAGGCCACTAGAGATTATGAGGAACCAAACTGAATTACTAGGTTGTTCTTTGGTGGCTTCAATTGCCTCCAGCGTCTTGGACAACTGGTCTCGTGTAAAGGAGTGGACAGTAAAATAATAAGGACTCTTGAGGCTAAAGAAGTAGGAAAGCATTCTCAAAATGATGCTGTTATGAGAGGTAAATTTCCATTAAATTCTGAGTAATATCCTGGACTATAGATGTATTTAATATTATGTAAAAAACAAGCTATGATAAATTCCATAATCCCAGGACAGAGTGCTAAATTTGGTACTATGCTGACTCAAAAATAACTAAATATCATATTTTTATAACGTAAGTAGTAGTTTGCTAGGAGCAAAAACTAGATTTTCTCAGTGGCAGAAGGAAAAATAGAAACTTATGTGACCACATTTTACCACCATTGTTCATAGCCTGTGGGACAGGGTTCTAGGGAAAATTCAGCAATGACATTCTCATATACCTGCTTGTGGCACATTAATTAGGAGTCTCTTTGGTGACATGTTTTAGTAATTTTATTATTTCTTTCTAATGTGACTAATATACTAAGGCCAGGGACTTTTAAATTTTTCAGCAAATTAGTTCAACTGGACTAAATATTAAAGATAAGTGATAGTGGTGAATATAAGTAATGCCATGGTGAACAATGAGAACTGGTGAATGTAAGAAAATTCAAGGCAGTTACCACAGAATTATTTAAATGCCGTGAGGTACATTTGCTTATATAAAAAGACAGCCACAAAATGTCAAATGAAAAGGCTATAATGAAAGGGAATCTATGCTTTAAATAAATAAATAAATAAATCTATGCTATGCACACATCTATGTGT